TCAGAAATTACGTGACAGAAAGAAACCAAGAGAAAATTCTAATCAATGAGCAGGGCTGATTTCGTGTGAAATCTGAGCTTCTTGTGGAGGCGAGCATGAAGCAGGCTGAGTGGTGGTTACAAACAATTCGAAGGAATGCGTTGCCTTCATCTCCAGGTATAAGTACTTCTACACTGAATACGGAGACAGCCGGTTAGAAGCGACTTCAGTTCTGTGCACTTCGGATGCTTCTCCAGAGGATACGAGAATACGAATGACTCTGAATTATAGATTAAACTCTGTGTACTTGTTTGCAGTAGCTAACGTTAAACCCCGTACTGAAAAGTAAATGGCACAGCTGCTGAGAGCCCACAAAGAATAATACATCTGCTCGGAAAGACCCCGGCTAGGGGACACAATCTGAACCTAGTAAATTCTCTATTGATTGAACGTTCATCGTGTGTACTGTACAGCCTACCGAGTGGGGGCAACGACCTATCGACCAGCCGTATTTATCAATTGCACCATGACACTCATAATAACGGGGGGGGGGACATGTCCAGCGGTGTAAGTCAACAATTTAAGCTTCAGAACTCCACAGCTCACGAACTAAGAACAGGATGTTAACTAATTATGTGCTAATGAGTGACCAAAAGAATTATACGAGTTTCAGGTCAGAGATAACTCTTACGTCACACCGACAGTTGCGAACTTGTTGCTGGAGACAAAATACAGATCGACTGCGCATGCGCTGACATGACGGAATGATGGAGATAAATTTTAAACTTATTAGGATAACTTGTTAACAGGCGTGCATTGTGGCGTGTATACCCGTTAGCAAGTACCAACCGCGAAACAAACAGGTTCCCACGGCAAGGAATTCACGCACAACAATAAAGGAACTGTTTCAAACGGTGTTTCCTACGCGGTCCGTGTCGAGTTTTTATAATTCTTATAACTTCCTATAACTTATAGTTGTAAATTCGACAGTAGTAAGGGAGTCTGTGAAGAGACGACTTAGTCGGTGCAGTTGAGAGCCAGGGGGGGCAGCGAAGTGAGTGAGGAAGCTGAAGAATCTCTACTGTTAGTAACCGTTACCAGGGAACGACTTGTGAAAACACAGCAGACTGAAAAGACAGCGTATGCTATAGTGATTTGTAAAGTGTGGAGACCAGCGATTGCGCATAATTAAGTGTTCTCATGAGTCATGTGTTATAAGTGGTCAATAAATCCAAGTTCCAATCCAAACTACTTCTATAGTCCCACATACATGTGATAGTATGAAATGTTATGACAGCTGCCCCGCTCTGAGAGATAAACCGATGTTATGATGCCGGAATAATTATAGTCTTCTTCACAAAATCATGTAAGTCCAGTCCACGATATCACGTGCTATTTCTTTAATATCCTCTTTTAATATTAACCTCCAATGCATGCAAGTTATTCCTAATAGCCTTATACCTACGGATTTTTTTTATGATTCTTGGGTATCTCTTTACTCACACGAGGACTGCCACTGCTTGTTTTCTTACAGATGCGCCGCTGGTTTTCAGAGTTGTCAGACCACCCTGTATCGATACTCACGGAGGTGGATCAGCACGAAACCTTTTTCTGAAGGTCCGCTGAATATTGGTGCATGAATTTATTTTCGCGTACACAGTCATGCAAAAGCTCTTTTCTATGGTAGACGTCATTTTTTTAAATTGCGCCAATTCTGAAATCTCCGAGAATTTGACTTTCCGCTGATACCGGTTATTTGTGGGTATGCTGTGTAGTTTCCTCGTATTTTATCCCTGAAAATGTATCAGTCAATTACGGACATCCTGTTTCTTACGGTGAGAGGCTATAGTGGCCGTTCAAACTCCCACGATTGAACACAACCTCTCGTCTGCTCTCTGCAACTGCGTAGCAGATATATTAAGAGCTGTGCTCTATATCTGCAGCCCGCCTCCTCCAGCCGTAGCGAAAGGTCGTGTTCTGCTGCGGTAACAGGGCGCCCACTTCATGCGCAGCAATGGAAATTTCATTCAGATTCAAATACACAAGACAAGTACGGTTTGAATAGCTTATATAGGGATAGGTACTGGAAGCAAACGGACAGAAACTGTATAAAATAAAGCAGAGAAGGGAAAATAAACGGAGGAAACTCGTATAAGAATAACAGCATGAAACAGTGCTAACTTTTACTGTATGCAAACACATATAAGTGCGTCGTAATGGTTCCAATAGAACTGCGCATGCGCTGTATACTATTCCAATCCCTACTTTGTAGCTTCTCGTTACTGCTGTATTTTTCTTGACTTCTTTTAACAGATATAATCCAAAATAATGTTTCCTTCCAGTAACCCTTCTCTCTTCACATTCTAACTCAACCACAACATTTTGTAGAGATAGCTTCAGTTAACTTCTATATTTCACCTTGCTCGTTTTTAGGACATTTTTCTTCCAATATTCCCTAAATTCTCTGAAAGAAGTTGATGTAAGCCTTTGTCTAACGTCGTAGTTACTTTCCTGCAAACCGCGACGTTGTGTGAAACGACGTTAAGCTGATCAGTTTTTAGAATAAGAAACTTAAGAAACACGCTACAGTCCTCAGCCTTCTTTCACCCCCGTAACATGCATTACAACACAGACAACATGAACGAGGCTCTAAATGCCTTCATATCCTTGCCTATAAGTACATGTAATTATGAGCTGCAATAACGTTTAATTAACATTTACTATGATACAGAGTATTCACCGATCGCCAAACGTGAAACAAATGAGTGGTGCATATCGGCCACAAATAAAAATTGACTAGAATTTCAATGAGGGCCAGAGGAAAAAGTAAATTTGTGCCTATTCTTGCCTAATTAAGCACTACGCCATGATAACGTATGGGAGAGAGGAGATACAGATCCACGTACTTGACTTAGGCTCTATTTGAAGGTGAGCGATCAGCTTCACGCCCCGGCCGCTTTACCTCCTAGGAAAGAGCCCCGGCACATATCGGATGGGAGACAGGATGGACCACAGAATCAATTTGGAAGATGTGGAGAGGAAAAAGAGCCTTGTCTCCACAGGGACTCGAACACCAACCCCTCGGCCGTCAAGCCGTAGCCCGTCGGTACACCTACTGCACTCTCTCGGCTCCCTAGATGTTTCTCCTTCTCCCACTGACTAGTAAGGTCTGAACAAGGACGTAATGACTTAAAAAGACGTTGTGTGGAGTCTTGCTGTGAAAATACATGAGACAACGTCAGCAGGGACAACCTTAAGCGATAACTTACTACACGTACTCAAAACTTCAAGGCTTATCCTCATACAATACGTCCTCTGTCAGCTACTCTAGAGATCTGCATCACCTAGGTGTTAGAGGCAGTCCTGCTTCCGGAAGTTACGGACTTGGTTCTCAGCCCGAAGTCTGACATCTTCGTGGTTTTCTTTACTACTCCCACGTAAATCATATGACTAAACCTTATAACATGGAAATATAATTTCCTACTGAACACTCAGCAGGTTTCAATTTATAATCTCCTCAAAATTCTACTCTTCATAAGTTTTTCTGATGATAAGCGTCCGTGAACAAAACTTGAAAGAAATAAATAATGAGAAATGAAACACATGATAACAAACGGAAAGCAAGGAAGCAACTGACGAATAAAACTAGGAATAAAGGGGAATAATAAAAATAAGGATTGAAGGAAAGGAAAATAAATGACGATAATAACAAAAATGAGAGATGGAAAAAAGAAAAACATGAAATATAACTACAGAAAAGGAAGACCGGAATAAAGAAACAACATTTGAAATAAAGAAGAAGTACCTGAAAATAAAGGATGGAAAAAGGGAAATGTGAACATAAATGAAGAAATTATGGGAGGACACAAACGGAAAAAGAAATAAAATACAAGTAAGACACAAAGAGAGACGACAATAATGTATACAAATTACGAAGGAGTGGTAGGGGGCGCCTCCAACAGGTGATTCAGTTAAACTCAGAGCTCCCTTCCAGCGTCCCATCGGTTTCGGGGACCGGGAGCCTGGGAGGCGATACGGGAGCAGCAGCCTCGCCAGGTGCAGCTCTGGTGTCCCAGACGCATAAGTGGAGCAAAACTTACAGCTCTGCATACAGTGCTGAAACTGGCACACAGATTCACTGGAGTGATACACCAGGACTGGCTTCTTTCTTGAAGGGACAGTGGTAATAATATGTACCATCGGTTGTACAATTCAAGAATCTGGCATTTCGCACGCAGATTGTGTTTATTATACGAGTATATATACATATCGTAACGAATTTAAGGTCTTAAACACTATCTGACACCAGTTATCCCGTATATTAGTGACGTGTAGACGGGTTTGGATTGGTGGATCGATTTACTGGATACTTACAAGTCGCAAATACAAGTAATCATAACACTTTCAAGATTTCTGTAACTATAACATATAAAATCTTCAACTTCTTGCTAACGCTTCACAGCTGACTCCTCACATGACAGCTCTGTCTCCTGGACTCACTGCTTCTCGAATTCTGTATCTTGGCCTTTGCTGGCTTCATGCGGACGGGAGACAGAACACCAGGTACAACAGTTCATTCCTTTGTTATTCTCTGTTGCCATGAAAACGTGTGTCACTCCCGGGGTAAAGCGTACTCCAGTGTATTCGTTGCTGCGGAAACGTATTTCAACTCGCTGTTGCCTAGCAATGGTCGTCTTTTCTGACTTCAATATTTCGGCTTTCAGGCGTCATGTATATATATATAAGCACCGAGGGCACACCGTAACATGTGCCTAAACTCACTCACACTCAATTTATTTTTATTCAGCTGCAATGTCTGACGTACAAGAGGAGAGTCCATTACTAAGATCTGTTTATTATGCATTACCCAGTCTTCATTCAGGCTTTTAATGTACACTAACTTCTTCAACTGACGCATATTTGGTATTATGAGTTTAACTTATAAAACGCACGAGAAACTTCAAAAAAGCGAAAATGTACACAGAAAGCAGAAAATTGATGTCTCTTTTCTTTTCTTGCAGGTGGAAAGAAAATAAATGGCGGTTCTTCAGCATCTCCTGATGTAAGTTGATCCCTTATTATCATCGCTGAAATAATATCTTTGTTGAAGGGGTAGCATTCCCCCTTCCTACTCGCACGGTCCCGGGTTCATTTCTCGGCCAGAAGACAGACTATCGTTACTGAGGTTCTTCGTGGCTTTCCACAGTCACTCCCGACAAATACTGGAATAGTATCTCAAACTGGATCGAACTGATTCCGTCAAGACCCGTTTCAATTACATTACTCTTTTACAGTCCGTATATTTTACTGCATGAAAGCTGAGCTATTGACGTAATCAAATAAATAAACAAATTCATATAATCAGAGACTTAAAAGCATAAATCTTAACATTAAAATAATGAAAATTTTCATTTTTTTAAGATTAATTACTAGTTTTATTTGAAATATTTTCTCTTTTACTTCGTTAAAATGAAACATAAACTTGTCGCTTTGTCGTATAGCAAAGCCTAACTTAAACACAACGATTATTTTGTTAGTTAGTCACAACAAAATGGCCGGATAGTGGCGACATAAATCATAACAAAGTCACTGTGTCCTGATATGATGACAACGCTTCGAATTCAGTACGGGGCATTTTGCGATTTGTGGCAAAGTATCAAACGCTGAAACAAACATTTTCTGTCATTACGTAAAACACGAATCATTATTTGTAGTATGTATCTATGCACTTACATTTATATTCAGGTTTACACTTTTTATTTTTGCTCCACATTTCTTTTTTCCTTGTTCGATGTAAAGTCATATTTATATCCCTTCAAATATTAAATCATCCTTGCTTGGGCCATATATAAATTAATTACATATATACCTAAGTTCTGATTAAGTAATTTATATTTTAATTATATAAAAATACACGTATGAGCATTTGTGTGCGCACGCATGTATATGTGTGTGTTTGTGTGTGTACGTGCGCTAACACCCCCTATAGGTGAAATACGTGTTTTGGTTTTCAATGCCTATCCTACTCGGCCCTTTATTATTAAATTATGATGACCCATTTGTCTCATTCTCCTTGCCTCTCTCTGCTGTTAATTCACTCTCATGAGATAATTTCCCACCTGTGGGGATGGGCGGTCGTTTGTCTCTTATAAATAGACGTTTAGGTTGTAAGTACTTTACGTGTGTTGGACTGTACAGTCCAATACGCAGCTGGAAGGATGTAAACATTGACTAGACATACTGAAATTAAAAGCCAGTAATTTCTTTCGACTCATATATACATACAGAGAATTCAGCATGTTCAATGCGGTCCCCTTCTACTTTAGAATTGGTTGTTCCTTTGCGATTAGCTTCATATGTGTAGTGTAACTTATTTCTTTGCAGTCAACTTTGTAACTGGAAATTAGCACTTTCTTTGAGCTGCGCTTCATATACGAAAATTTGAATTTTTATTTGACCAGTTTTATATCTGAAAATTAATCCTCGCTTTGCGATCCACTTAAGTTGCAGATTAGCGCTCTCCACAATGAGATACTCCTTGTACTGGTAACTGGAGAATTTGTGCGCTTCAAATTTGAAAGCCAACGCCTTACTTGCCGCCCTCAGGGTATAACAATAAAAGAAGCGATTATCATAGATTATCATATTTGCTGAGCATTTTTCATGGTAAAGCCTCAAAACTGAAAACATTGTAAAAAGGGATTAAAAAAAATATTTTTTAAATTCAGTTTGCTAATCCGTTTTTGTCCATCCGTCCCACATATCCCAACCACAACAAGGCACCTAATTAGGCTACCAGAACACTTAATTAATTACTTATTTCAAAATTATGTGACGGCCTCTATTTCCGTTTTTCTCATCATGCTATGGGGGCGCGTCGGTTTTCATGTCACAGAGTATAAGAACATTTAGATAAATCTACGTACACGTGTGCGATAAATAACATGGCTGTCTCTCTGGGCTAATCACAATTTGCACACAATATCTCAATGTCTTTCCAGAGTTGGCAAAGAAACAAGGAGCATCGCGGGAATAAAATTCACTTTAACTTACGGAAAGCTTTGTCAGAGTTACGCAAGTGTGGAGAACACTTTAGTTAAAAGGGCGTGGGTGAAGCAGCTCAAGCCTAAGGATGGTGACAAAGATGAGTTTTGCGGCAGGAAGTCCCGTGTTCGGATGATGATGTGTGCAATATATGCTCAAACGAACTCAAAAGCTCATCAACCGACGGGCATGCTAACTGAGGCCTCTAATCCCATGAACTTCCTGCGCCCACAAAGCCACTTCCTGTGCTTACATTGCAGCTGTACGCGAAAGTACAGCATAGGGGTGTATCTTTACAGAACGGGACAGACGTTGGAAAATATGAAACTACTGAGGCAAAACTTGAAGATTTAGTACCCAAATGGTATACTCATACATTATGGCAACATTTTATTATATAATAGGTTATAAAAATTAACTGCATTCAATAATGCCTCACAACTTTAATTCTTTAGTTCAGCAATTGTGGATTGAAATTTAGATTTAATGTCACTTCACATGATGGATATTAGTAGACAGATGCGGTGTAAAACTGCCTTTAATGTGAAATTTGTTGGACATGAAATCGCCCATAAATATTAATTATAGATTATATTTAAAATTTATAAATATAATTCGCCAAAATACATGAAAATTACCCCACAAATATATTAAGAAGGCATCAAGATATAGAAACGTAGAATCGAAGTATCGAATAATGCGTTTTTGAATAAAATAAGCATATTTCTGTAGTGTCAAGAGAAGACGCTAAGGGCGAAGAAGATTTATAACTTTCACAATATTAAGGAGTTCTCTCCAAAGCAATATATGTAGTTGCAGAAGAATGGAGACATTCAGCATTTTATAAGAAATGTGTGTGTGTGTGCATTTCTGCAAATGTTCCTTGGAACTGGCAGCAACCTGCGATCCAATGTATATGCTGGCCGCTTCTAACTGTAGATTGAAAAAGCCCTCTTGCGAAACAGGTAGTCAGTCACTCGGCCAGTAGAAGAACTTCTCGCCTTTTATGAAACAAAGGCGCTCTATATTTTGTTCACAAAATCCTTAACTGAACTCTCTTCTGACCCATTTCAATGAATGTCTTCTGCATTGCCTAGTTAATTCAAAGGTTACCAAAGTTGTGAAGGAATCTGCTGCATTTATTTTCAGGATAAATGTTAACTCTGAAGCTGGAGGTAACATACTGTGCCGAAACGTCCTATGAAACAGTGCGATATCATACGCTAAATCAATAATGAACCTTCTAGTTACATAACAAGAGGGAACACGCTTGTCTTTTGTATTCGGGAGACTCAGGTTCAAATCTCGGATGATAGATCGGACATCCTGTGGAAGATGTTTACTGGATCTCTTGGGTCCTTCTAGGCAAATTCTGGGATAATACATCTCAAATCAGATAAGTCATTCAATAATCGTCATACAGTTCGACGCTACGTAATCGAAGCTACTGCAAACGTCGTTTACTAACTAAGTAACTGTTTTTGCATCTGTATTACTGTCACATACTGAGAAAACACTGGTTCAATGGAGATATTGTGTCAGCTGCTTTGAGTGTGTGATTTGGTTTATCGACTATTCATGTGGGCCATGGTTATCCTGCGGTTTGAAATTGGTCAAACTAGGCACAGCTTAGTGAAACAAAAGGAGACAAGTTTCAAGGACTTCACTATTGCAGCTGTTTTTGTGTAAAGTACGAAACAGGCTATAGGATGTCAGAACTTATTTCGCACTGAAGAAAGAAAAGTTTCTCAAGAGAAAAACAAAGCAGAGAGAGAAAGCGAAACAACAGTTTACGCATGCGTGAGTCTTGTATGAAATTTACGGGTTATGAACGTAACTTTCCTCATGATGGAGAAAACGACAGGCTTTGAAACAAGGAACATGAATCCAATATTGACATGACTGAGAACAGAGGAAGATTTGATTGCATTCAGTCGAAATAAGGACTTCAAAGTTATGTCCCTCTCCTTACCCGCCATATAGTTCAGTTATTTCGTCATATACTTACGATCACAGACTCAGCATGCAATAAAAACCGAGAGGTAGGAACAAGTAAAAATATAAAACACAGGAAGGCGTGGAATTGGAGAAATTGTGCAAAGATTTCGTAACTGATAATGTGAAGGATAAAATAGAATTAACATTTATAAAAAACCGTTAGTCCTGGTAGCTGTTCAAGAAATTCCATCTCTCTATGCAAATTGGAAGTTCATTACCGTGTTCACAAAAGCCCAGCATTGGATCCTTCCTGGGGCCAGACGAATGTAGTCCGCATCTTCACACTCAATGACATCTCACTTCCATCAATTTGAATATTATCCTTCCACCCACGCCTAAGTTTCCTTAGTGGTCTCTTCCCTTGGAGTTTTCCAGCTAACATTTCGAACGTATTTCTCATATTCCTATGCTTGTTCTGTGGCCGGCCCCTTTCTCAACAAATTTCATCGCCTATTAAATAATTCATGAAAAGTACAAACTATGAAGCTGTTCATTATGCAGTCTCCCCAACTTCCTGTTACTACTTTCCTCTTAGGTTTAAATATTCTCCTTAGCACCAAGCTATCAGACATTCTCGGCATGGGCCCATCTGGTGTAGCGAAAGACAACATTTAATTTGCATATAAAAACAGGTACATTTATGGTCTTATTATGTTTTAATGAATGTATTTTTGTACATGGGTCAGAAATAAAAAAGAATTTCGAACTGAATGAGAGCAAATGTTCCCCCGGACTCAATCCCCCCTCTCTTCCTCGTGAATGTAACTTCCTGCACTATTCTCGTCTGTCGATGATTATATGTAACAGAGCCACATTAACTATTCCATAGACCGAGCCAGAGCTCAAGTGGTTAGTGGCTGGCTTCCCATAGCGGCGGCCCGGCTTCGATCCTGGGTCTGGTCAAGTGGGATTTGTAGTGGACAAAGTGGCGCTGGGGTGGGTTTTCTCCGAGTACTTCGGTTTCCCCTGCCAATCTTCATTCCACCAAATTCTCCATCATCATAATCACCCTGGGTAGGCTACAATAGGCCAGTCAGTGGCCGCCGTGGCGAGTGAACCCAGTTGGACTCCACCCCCCCCCTAAACGAATTAAAAAATATATTTAAACTGTTCCATACCAGATTTATTTCATTGTTCAAAGAGCTTCACGGAAAAGACAATTTAAATGTGCACCAGTAACTACCAGTTACCCACAGACTTTAAATTTTCTATAAGTAATTTATTCATCTACTTCAATTTCTGAATAAAACAGAAAATGACAGAAATTTGTTTTATTTTAACAGTTATTATTTTCCGGATTATCCCTCTAAAATATTACATGAAAATCTGAACAAAATGAAGATCAATTTCAATACTTTGAAATAAACAAAACCGCCTTAGTACAAATACTAAGTTTCTGGACATTATCCATCTTCCTGTCTGTATCTAAAAACACCTTCCTGTTTATATTACAAAACACAACGTTTCGGAGACTGGATTCTGTCTCCTTCTTCAGGTGAAACCTACTCTTTTGGGCCCAATCAATAGAGGAAGTATCTATTTCCGGTGATATGACCTAGCTCTCTCGATTGTAAACAGAATCCAGTCTCTGAAACGTGTTTTGCAATATAAAGAGGACGGTGTTTTTTGATAAAAATAGGATGATGGATAATGTCCAGAAACATAATATTTGTAGTGACGCACCATCGTCATAAACTGTTAGAACTTAAAGCCTCCTTAGTTATGGAAGAACTACAACTGTTTCTCTTTCGTCACACAGGAACTTGATGAGGTGAAGCAGCTGGAAGATCTGAAACATTCCTTCGGTAAGTTTCTCCATGTTTGTGCTCCACATTCCTTCTTTCTGCAATGCGTGCCAGTAGTAGCAACAGCCCACGTGACAGATTCGATTTCGTTGCTGCTAACGAGATTACAGTCCAGACTCAAACAACCGGAAGGTGAATTGATGAATTCTATGCGTGCTGCTTACTGCATTATAAATCAAGAGAGATATCACGCTACCCACACTTGGTTCCGGGCAACTCGTCTTAGTGATAAGAATGTTTTGAGTACTGTTAACTCCAGTCGCGTTTACTACATGTTGACACAAACAAGACGCCTCTATGAACTCACGATGTAGGTGAGCTAACTGCAAAATCAAAATATTGTCGCGTATCGGGGGTATGTCGCGACAAATAACTTCTCGTTGTATTTGATGTAGCGAATTTTATTTCACATCCGCTCTCACAATCACCCAAATTACAATCTGACAATTACTGCTATCTGCAGTATCATAAATAGTACACTCCCAATGCCACAATACAACTCTAACTGATCTCGGCGACTGTTGCTTTATAACTGACTGTGAATAGCCTTCGCTGCTCCCTATGTAGTCCCGATCGGACAATACGGGAAAACGGCCACGTAATAGGCACCCTTGTTGCTATGTCGCTGTGTTGCTATGTAACGCTAGCGGAGGTAACCGCTGTTACTACCGTAACGTCGCCGCTGTTGACTCGCGTTGCCTAGCGACCGCGATATCCCTCGGTGACGTCACCGCGGAGGGGAGTGGCGGGGCGGGAACTCGCCTATTACCGTAAGAACGCGAGCGTTACGCCACCGCCACGCACCGTGGGGGGGAGGTAGGGGTCAACATGTCACAATATGTTAAAAGATTCAGTGAGATAGTGCAAATGGTAGGTGTTAATGCGTGTAATATCCTGGAACGAGTAATGGCCAGTGCACCAAATTTTACAGACATGTGTTTCCTCTGTTCCACAACGAAATCGGAGTGTTTTCCCACTGAACCATGAAACTGAAGTATGTGTGAAGGAAGAATACATGATAACGTACAGTTACTGATTTAACGAACGTAAGTGAATATAAGAATAGTGGGTGTGCAGTGAGGCAATGTGTCTTCGAGGTTATTCTTGCACTATTACTAATATCGTGTGAATTATGTAGAATGGTTTCGAAGAAATGTATTTTAGTGGTTATATGGATAGAGAGAGTTATATTTTATGAGAATTATGTA